AGAATATGTTAATAGTATATGATGTACTACCTCTGTAGTCCCACTAATATCAGGATCAGAGGAGATGACACAATTAGTAAGAAAATGATTTAGAAGCACACATATTTTATCAAATTTGACATGACAATAATCTTATTATTTTATTAAGACGGATCGAAAAAAAAAAAGATGAGACAATCTTGGCGGGATAGAGGAGTATTTCATATCTAATTTACTTCAATTTAATTGATATTTTTTAATCATCATTGTGCTACACAAAGTATCTAAACAAAATTTCTATATGACCGACCGTCTAGGGCCCCATAATTGCTTGGCCCTGACAACTTCTTATTAGTTTTGGGAAATAAATACTCCGTACAAAATATATCCGTTTTTGGCAATACATGGATTGACAATCTTGACAGCATTTAGGATATAACATGCATGACTAATCTAGTCTTTGCAAGATTTGGCAATCCTTCATATGTTCATACTTCATAGTTCTTGAATAGATAATCCTTCGCAAGCTTTAGGGTGTTTTTACTTGGACCGTAATCCTCGGCAACACCAGATCTTATTAGACCAGATCAGACCAGACTAGACTCAATCAAACCAAATAAGATCAAACCAGACTTGAATAGTTATAAAAATATAAAGAGACCAGACATTACGATACCAGACCAGTTCAGATCATACCAGGTCAGACCAGCAAATTACAGTCCAAGTAAAAACATCCTTACTACGGAGTATGTATCAATATCCCTTTTTTTAATAATCTCTGGCAATCGTTGACAAATCTACTTGGCAATTTTTAGAATCCTTGGTAATCCATTTACAGTCCTGTAATTAATATAATCCTCCCAATTCACTTGGTCCTAATTATTTCTTATTTTTATGCAAGTAAGTATATTTTTAATTATCTCTTTATTTTAATCAATGTAATTTCAATTTATTGCTGCAAATAATATGACAATATTTAATCTCATCTTATATTATGGGTCAGGGTTCAGTAGTCACTAGTCAACACGATATTAGCCAATAATTGTGAGTGGCTAACCTATCTACTAGCCATTATATTGTCACTGTGATTGGCTCTCTTCTTCGCTAGAAATGATGTTTCAGACGTTATACCACTCCATGTCTCCATAGACAACTTTCTTAAACTCATGGCCATCAATCTTCATAATAACATCAAATTCACCTTAGCTCTATAAACTTAAATTTTGATATCTCCAACTTCTTGCTACCCTTGATGATTATGATCTTCATGACTTTGTGGATGAAACTTACTCTGTTTGCGTGTTTGCATGATGTACATGTGACGTTGAAGAGATGGACACCTAAAAATTAATAAGTATTTCATCAGTTGCCCAATTAAGTTTTTAATTTGGATTCAGACAATCTTAAGCAAAATAATTTTTCTATTGACTTTCAATTCTAAATATAATCTTTATGAAACGTATGAAAGAGAAAATTAATACTTCCACTGTCTCATTCTAATTAAGTCTCTCACTTTCTTTTGTACGATATGATGTCGCATTTCAAGGTTCTCATTTCTATTTTAGGAAACAATTGATACTCTTAATGACATCATCAAGTATTAAAAATAGATCATTTATAACATCACATTTATCATCAATGACTCAATTACATTACATAACCATCAAAACTATTTTGTATATATACTCGAATTATCATATTACCTCCGTCCCAAAAAACTTTGTCATTTCATAAAATTTGGATCATGATTTTGATTAGTATAATATTATGAAAGTTATAAATTTTATACTCTTATGAAATTACTTTGAACAAAGAACACTTTTATATCATTTTTATACTCGTATTATAAATAGTTTTCATCAAAGAGGTATATTTGGTCAAAGTTTTAAAATGGCAAAGTTTCTTCGAACGGACGTAGTATTTAATTATTGTCTAAATAATTGTGTCATTTTACAATGAGAGCCTTTGAATGAACGGGTAGTGAATAATTATGTACATTTGATATGGGTAAAAGAATGTTTTAATTACCACTCAAATGTTACTCTAAGTGAAAGTTGGAATTTAATTTTGATATATTCCAAAAGGAAAAATAATGTAACCTAATTGCAGGACTGAGCAAGTAGTATAACTCTTTTCTTATTTCGATGATTTTCTCTATTTTATCAAGTATTTCTCCGAAATGTCAAATCCAACGTCTAAATACATCGATTATAATTGATATTGTTGATAAAAATATATCATTCTCATTCATTGAAATTTGCTAACTTTCTGTTTTTTATCTTAAAGCCTTTGTCACTTTATATTTGAAGTAAATAATTTGTGCTTCAGTTTATTTCTCTCTTCTTTGATTGTAGAAAGAAAGAATAATTTATCCGTTTTTCTCATGCATTGGTAAAAAATTGAAAGAAAACAAATTGGTCTTAAAAACTATCTTAGTGAGTTAGTGTTCAATTTACATAATGATACCGACACACTAAAAAAACTAAAAGGTGAGATGTGGTCTTTGTGGTGCAGTGGTGCCAAAGAGAAAAACTAGAGAAAGAAAAAGAAATGAATCAAGGAAAAGGAGATTAGTAAACGCAGCAATCCCGAAATTAAATATTTAAATACTCCGTAATCAATAAAACTAGTCACGCTAATCTCTAGTCCACTCATGAGTATATATTTATATAGGAAAAAAGGGGCAAAAGAACCCCTTATCTAACCGTGATGTATACGGTTGAGGATCTCGATTCTCTGCCTTGCTATAGCAGCAAGGTAGGGTGTGCGGCTTTTATAGCCACGCGATTCAACCAAAGCAGCCTCACCACTTCTCCTCCCCTTCCGTCCCTGCCGTTATATATCAGAGTAATTAATGAAGTGCATCCAAGCCCATAATTAAGCTTTATTTTTGGGCAAAAAACTTTATTCTATCAAAAGAAGGCAATTACCCTCTTATCCAACGGTGATGTATACGCAAAAAACTTTATTCTATCAAAAGAAGGCAATTACCCTCTTATCCAACGGTGATGTATACGGAGTATATACCAGAGTAACACCCATCCTCTCAAAATTTGAATTAACTTGCGTACCCTAATCCGAATGAACTTGAATTCGTCTTCTACTGAAAAATTCTCCCAAATATATTGAACTCGCCTTCCTAGTTTGTCTACTAGGAAGGCGGTTTTTTTAATTAATGAACTTTAATTATCTGCTAGCTCATAACCGGTTGAATCAACAGATTGATATTACCGGATTTGTTAGCTTTTTTTAACTAACCGCTTTCATTAGTGGTTTGAAATAAAATATTAGTAACTTAAATTTTGCAATTAGTTTTTCAAAATTACAATGACCATTAAAAAATGAATTTAAAAGTTTTTTTATATTTAAATTAATTTTATTTCTTATTATTTTTAATAAGTTTTGGAAGACGTTTTAAAAATATGTTTACGTGTATTTTAAATAATTACTAACAATTTCATTTTTAAGATATGTACATTAATGTGAGCAAACGAATATAAATTCATATATTTTTAGTAATAATATTTTTCATATGACTATTTATTATTATTATTAAAGTCTACTCCATTTAAAAAAACTATTGCAGAATTCTACTCCACGTGACTATTTATTAGTTTTTTTAAAAAAATACTCCTTGGTTATTTAAAATAAAAGTAAATATGTTTTTTAAAACCTTTTCAAAGACTTATTAATTACGTCTTAACTTTAATCGCAAACTTTAATGGTCATTTTACGTCTTAACTTTAATCGCAAACAATTAAGTTATTAACATTTTATTTCAAACGCTAATGAAAACGGTTAGTTATAAAAGCTAACGGAATCCGTTATTATCAATATGCTGATTCAACCGACTATTAGTTACCAGATAAATGTTACTCCGTATTATCAAATGCGGTCGTTGACATTTTTGGACTTCCACTTTTGATGACAAAAGCAAAGTAAAAGGAATCCAAATGTCTTTTAATCAGGCATGAATTTATGAATTTAACTTTATAATTTGACATATGTTCGCAAAATAATAATTCAGGGACTTGGATGTGCTTTAGATGCATATTTGGGCGTGTTTTTGCCCCTTGCATCAAATACTCATCACATGCCGTTATCTACACCGTGTTCACCGTTTGATAAGGGGGATTTGCCCTTTGTTAATGGAATACAAAATTTTTTACCCCAAAATTAAGTTCATGGGCTTAGATGCACTTTGACAACTTTAGGGCTATGTTGTAAGAACCGGACCGGAGAGTGACCCGGGGCGATGATCGGGTCAAGGGTCAACCCGGACCCGGCGGGTCAACCCGGTCAACGACTGGAAAACCCGGTCAACTCACACACACATTTAATATTTAATATTTATACGTATATAATATTAAATTCTAATGTTATTCTTTCATAAATTAATAATTATGATACAACATAAAGCCATTATGAAATCATTATTTAGAGTTGGTTTTTATAATAAATTTAAAATAGATTTGGATGTAGGTGGATAATAAATATAGATATAACATCAATTACAAAATTTTTAAAATATAATGTAAATATATTCTCATATTTAATTGAGATATGGAATATAATATAGTCCGTATAATATATATGCATTATTATTATGGTTATTATTGTTATTATGAATTGTTTAGTTAGTTAATTATTTAATGTTAATGAATGGTACACACGTAATATGGAATATAAGACCGAAAGCTATGCATTTTACCAACAAGTGATGGTGGCCGAGTGGAATGGAAGCCAAAACTCCTTCTTGGCAATGCAGATTCAATTCCCGCAGGTGGTGAGTCAGTCCTTTTTCCGGGTTTTTGAAAATTAACGGGTTTATGCGGTTCCGGACTTCCGGGTCCGTCCCGGTTCTACCCGGGTCACTCGGGGTTTTTCGGGTTTTAGCAACTTAGCGGGCTGGAGCATAACCGGACCGGATCAGGAGCCGGGTGACCGGGTTCCGGTTCGACCCGCCCGGTCCGGTCCGGTTCTTTCAACATAGCTTTAGGGGGCTTTTTGCCCCTTTTCCCATTTATATACGTTTGTATATTATTCGATACGTCCCTAAAAATACTTACAAATTTCCATTTTGGTCCGTTGCAAAAAAAAATCATTTTTCTTTTTTGTTAAAGAATTTGTTATTCATGGTAATTCTTACACTTTTATCTTTCTTTTGTAACTCTTCATCACACAATTCTCATTTTCTTGATGCGTGTGTAATTCAGGAAGGAGGGAGTATTAAACATAAGCTGGTCTTGTTTCTTTCCGGAAGTCTTCCCTCGTCTTGACCCTCAACTTTTCTCCCATCCCAACTGCTAAAGATTCCGACTTTACAGTGAAAATATAGCTTTTGAATCTTCTTCTTCCACTTTCCTTATGTTTTGGGGCTATATAAGTATATAACTGTGCGTGATTGGGATGTAAGTAATCGAAGGGGAGCTGTTAGCCTGTTCATTTAGGTTAGGTGTGGGCAGTGTTTGGTCTCTTGTTAAATACACTGTTTTGCTTGGTAGATTGTGCTGTTTAGGGCTCTTTTATGGGCCCAGATTTCCACTGAGGTGGGTTTTCATGGTGGAATTAGGACTATTTTCCGCGCTGCTTTTATCTTTTCTGAACCCATTTCTTGCTGTCTCGCATTTGGGGGTCTAGGGTTCCTTTATTAAAGATAAGATTTGGCTTTTTTTTAGGTTTCCTCCTTTTCCTATTTTGTGATTTGGGTCGATTTCTTTCTCTTGGTTATGTGAATCTTGGTATCTTTCTTGATTCAATTTGGTGCTCAGTTTCAGAGCTTAGTCCTTGAAGAGTTGATCTTACTTTCCGGTTGATGTTTCCATGGTGGGTTTTTTGGAAGAAAAACTATGAATATCTATATACATTTTAAATCTGTATTTCGTTTATCTTGAAGAGTGTTAATATTTTGCAGGTTTGCAAGTAGAAATTAAATTTGTGAATTGGGAATGAATGTTGAATTAAAGTAGGATTGCATTTGGTGAATTAGAAATGGCTAATCGTCTGAGAACAGATAGAGTTATTCAGCCTCCTCTGGTAAAGCTTTATTACCTTATTACTATTATTCTTTCAAGATCATGGCAGTGCTGCACTTTTCTGTTTGAATGTATATGAAGTTAAATTACTTCTTCTCTTAAATTTAACATTTAGTTCTTTGGGAACATGGTTTTTACATTGCACATATGGGTGTGGTTTTAATGGGTTCTGCGACAGTATATCTATGAAATCTTATTGATTTTCAACTTTTGGATTCAAAACCTTGTGGCTTAGATCATTTTGACTAGCATTTAATGTTGTCATACAATCTTTATGCAGTATCAAGGGAGTAATTCTATACTTGAGAATTAAGAATTAAACTGGGTTTCCTAATTCTCATTGTAAAACCAAAGATGAAAAAGACCATTATTCTTATTCTTTCGCTTCCATTTTCTGTGCTCAAAACATAGCCTTAGTGGAAAGATGTTTTGCTTTGAGTTTCAGAACTCAAATAGTGCAGGTCGACCCTTTGCGTTTAAATTCAGAAATTCCTAATTAATGCCATGTGAGTTGGAAGTAAATTGGTTTTCGACTTTCTTTGATCTATCCATTAGCATATTTCAAGCAACTATATACTGTCAAATGCCAATACTCTGTAAAAAAACTTCTTGCTTTCCAATTAAAGTCGTTCCTGATGAGTTATTGTTTCAAACTTCCCAATGAACAGTAATACTAAAAATATACTAGTTTTCATTATTATATGTGTTTTATCAAATGATGCCTAAAGTTACAAGCCAAAGCAATGTACATTTTAGGTCTTGTCTTTCCCTTATCAGGTATATTTTGTTTTCTCTTCTCAGGTTGATTCAACAACTTGTCTTTGTAGAGTGGATGCTGGGCTAAAAACGGTTGCTAGCGCTAAACGGTACGTGCCCGGGTCCAAACTCTGTCTTCAGCCAGACATCAAACCGTCTATCCAGACCACTCGGCCCAAACACACCCGCGACAAGAGCCGAACCCAATCCCCCCTTCTCCCAGGCCTCCCCGACGATCTCGCTATTGCTTGCCTTATCCGTGTCTCTAGGGTTGACCATTCAAAGCTCCGTCTTGTTTGCAAAAGATGGTACCGTCTCTTATCTGGGAACTTCTACTACTCCCTCAGGAAGAAACTTGAAATCGCCGAAGAATGGGTTTACGTCATCAAGAAGGACCGGGAGGGTAAGGTGTCATGGCATGCGTTCGATCCAGCAAACCAGTTGTGGGTCCCACTCCCACCTGTTCCCAAAGAATATTCCGAAGCAATAGGGTTCGGGTGTGCTGTCCTCAGCGGCTGTCACCTCTATTTGTTTGGCGGGAAGGATCCAGTCAAAGGTTCCATGAGACGGGTTGTATTTTATAGCGCACGGAGCAATAAATGGCACCGGGCCCCAGACATGCTCCGCCGCCGCCATTTTTTTGGGTTTAGTGTGATGAACAACTGTTTATATGTAGCCGGTGGAGAGAATGAGGGGGTTCATGGGTCATTGAAGTCTGCAGAGGTCTATGACCCAAACAAGAACAGGTGGTCGTTCATTGCTGATGTAAGCACCCCTATGGTGCCATTCATTGGGGTGGTTTACAACGGGAGGTGGTTCTTGAAAGGGTTGGGGGTCCACCGGGAAGTTGTGAGCGAGGTCTATGAGCCAGAGACAGACAAGTGGGAGCCGGTTCATGATGGAATGATGTCGGGGTGGAGGAACCCTAGCGCCGCCCTCGATGGGCGGCTCTATGCGGTGGACTGTAGGGATGGATGCAAGCTGCGTGTTTACGATGACGCGGCTGGCTCTTGGAGCAACAAGCGCATCGACGGGAGGATGCACTTGGGGACCTCAAAGGCTTTTGAGGCAGCGGCGCTCCTCCCGCTCAACGGGAAGCTGTGCGTTGTGAGGAACAACATGAGTGTATCCCTTGTTGATGTGGCGAGATGCGGCGGTGACGTGGTGGGGACAGAGCACCTGTGGGAGAATATCGGCGGGAAGGAGGGACAGCTGAAGAGTTTGGTTAGTAATTTCTTAAATAGTATTGCGGGGAGGAGCCGACTCAAGAGTCACATTGTTCACTGCCAAGTTCTTCAGACTTGATTAACTGTAGAAGCTTTGAGAAATTGAAATTGTTGTGTGATGTTAATGTAAGGAGCATATATGGTAAGGAGTATGCCTGCCTGCCTTCTTGTTGTATCATATAAAAAATTGAAGTTAGCATGTAATCCCTCCGTCCCTTTGGCGAAGTCCAACGGGACGGAGGGAGTACTATTTATTACTCCGTAGTAAGGTAGAGACTTTAACAAAAAAAAGCTAAAAAAAAAGTGCTTCCTTTTGCCTTCTAGGACTTTCCTGCCATTTCACCTAATACATAGAAAGACAGCTCTTGTATCTTTTGAAACCCAAAGTTCCATTTTAAACAATAGATCTTTTAACAGGTCCCGATGAATTGACTCATTTCATTCGATTCATTTCATTGCCATAGAGTTTTGGCTATGCGATTTAAGGAGTGTTTGGGATTGCTTTAAAAAGCGTGTTTTAGCTTTTAGCTTAAAAAAAAAGTTGAATAGTGTTTTCAAATGCCAGCTTCTGCTTAACTTAATCACTTAAAAGCTAAAAGCTGGAAGGGTGTTTGAAACTGTTTCTCACTTTTTCTATTACACAAAAAGAACTTATTTTACCAAACACTACCAACTTTTACTTTTTCAGAATCACTTTTTTCTCAAACACTATCAACTTTTACTATTAATCACTTTTCCCAAAATCACTTTAAAAAATCATTTTTTTAAAGTTGAAGCAATTTCAAACACTCCCTTAATTGAAATTGATCTTTGTACCTTTCACATAGATAATTCATGTATGTCAATTTAGGTCACTTCCAAACATTCTAAGAAACAATTACATTCTTCACATTGACTAGTTGTGTAATCTGTAACAGACATAACTCTTCTCTGAGTCATGTGACTAGGCTTGGACTCGGGCCGGGTGGCCCGACCCGTAACCGGTCCGAACCGGCACTGTTCTGGCCCGGCCCGGTGGCCCGGTCAGTGACCGGTTCGGGTAGGCCCGACCCGCTAGGGTTCCGGTCCGGGATCGGGCCCCTCAAAACGTGAACCGGCCCGGCCGGTTCGGGCCTGGTCCGGGTCATTTTATTTTTTTCCTTTTGTTTTTTTGAATTTTTTTAAAGTTTTTGGGTTGGGTTGAGTATTTTGGGTCATTTGAGATGGTTTGAGATGGTTTGGGGGTGAGGGGGGTGGTTAGGGGTTAATTAGGAAAAGGCCAAAAAAACCATTGAACTGAGGCCCGGCCAGGGTCCATGCCACATTGGATTATATTCACATACATGTTGTCTCTAATCTAATTGGACATATATGAATTGTATAGAGAGTGTATACATGGTTGACTTAGATTAGTACGTGTTTGGTCAAAAACATATTTCCAAGTTTGTTAACATTGCATGCACTTTCTGTATGTACACGGGTAGTTTTTTGTGTTATTTTGAACCAAACAGTTCGCAACTTCGTGTGCTTACCCAAAACTAGACGAAATCGAAATGGAGTTGAGTAAAACTTCCTATTAGAAGTTGTAATCTGAAGCCATAAGGCTAACAAACTTCCTACTCAGTTTTTAATAATGGGAATTTATAAAGATTTGATTAATAATTTTGCTTCAAAGACTGTTAGGACCAAGGAGGATAGCCTTATTCAAGTGAAAGTTCATCGGCTATGTAATGTTGTTTTAAGAATGTATAGTTTGTGTGCACTAAACATTATAAATTTATATTTTGTTGCTCTATTTATATTTCATGAAATTGAATCACATTATAATGCAACACTATGCTCTCTTGTTTTACGGAGTATCAATTTTGTCATTTAGAACAAGGCCTCTAAAATTTAGAGTCATGTTACTTGTACACTTTTGTGTACACTTTTGTTGTACACTCTGTCTAGTTGTTTGTGTAGACAGGAGCTTCGGAATGAACTCCATAATCCGTATATTTCATACGAGTAGTAGCTTTTTCACTTTGAGATACCAATTTTTCTCATAAGAGTGTATATAAAGAATCTAGAGATTAAATCTATTGCAAATAATCCAAAGAACGTTTTAACTTTTATAAAGAATATATAGGGTCTTTGCAGCGTTTTAAAAAATTCTTAATTGATGAGCGGTAATAGCGGTATAGAGGAAAATATATCTGATAAGATAAGTACAGTCAAAGGCAATTTGTAAAATCCCTATGGCTCACAGTTCAGGCATTTTAGTAACAAATGGTGTTAATTTATTTATTTACTACTCCCTCCGTCCCGCTAAAATTGTCTTACACACTATTCACTTGGTCAACACAAATCACTTGTACTATATATAATAATTTTTTTAGGGGTGGGCACGGTCCGGGACGGAACGGGAATTGGGTTGTCCCGGTACTGAACCCGTTTTATAATAACCGTTCGGAACGGGACGGGACAAGACGTGGTCCTTTTGTTGTCCCATTTAAACCGGTACCAGGACAAAACGGGACGGTTCGGGACATCCCAAAAAAAGTAGTGAAAAAATTGCAATCCCAAAAAACAAAGCAAAGCTATTTCAAAAATTAAAAAAAAATAGTGCAAGAAAAACTCTATGACAAAAAACATTATAGCTAATCTAGAAAATTGTGAGAAAAAATACAACTTACCATATTAACTGCATGAAACAAAATTTGCAACAAAAAACACTCTGACACAAAAACCTATCAAGAAATCTGTAAAAAAGAATGATAAAAGAATACTATTCGAAGTGAAACCTTTTGGAGTAAAAATCGTTTTCTTTTTTTAGATAGATGATAGTTCATAGTATGTGATACTAGATAGTTTAGAGTTTTTTAGGTGTTTTATTGTTAAACAACTAGTATTTTAATAATCATTTTGTATTTCAGTTGTGAAAAAAAGAATTATTATTATTATTTGGATTACATTATGAGTTGTTGGTAGACTCACTAACCTACTACAAAGTATAATTTTGGATTCGGGACAACGGGACGGAATGGGATGTATTTTACTTGTCCCGGTCCTGTTTTGTTTTGAAACGGTTCGGGACTGGTACAGGACAAAAATAATGTGTCCCAAATATAACGGGACAATTTCGGAACGGAACCGGAACATTCCGGAACGGACCAACGGGACCAGCTCTTTGGCCCACCCCTAAAATTTTTATCAAATTTGATTCTGGTTTTTGCGACATTGAAAAGTTTTTAATGTAGTTTTTAAATATGTAAAAAAAAATCTAAAAATAATTTGAGTACGGATAGGGATCTATTTGCTTTATCGTCGATCAAGTATCGTAAACTGAATTATCCCAAACATAGTGGGAGGGAGATAGTACTAATTTATTTGAGGTTGAATTAAAGTCTTTACTGTTTTGAGTTGGTGAAAGTTGTTTCATTCAACGACAATGCAATAGTTTGTGAATTGAAGCGTTCGATAATTTCATTGTACGACAGCTTTATTTTGCAACAACAATTGCAAGTTAGTTTTATCTTCACAAAGAAACTAATAGACCAAAAGTTTTATTCTCTGTTTCTTTTTTTACTTTTGAGCTCAATCATTTTTTTTAAATAACTTTTGAGCTCAATCATACTTTTGAGCTCATATCTGATGGTGTAAAAAAAAAACTACAAAAATGCATAAGGTAAAGTGTACATCATATAAAATCCCCCAAAAAAATCTCCATTTCTTCCCTCCCCTTCTCTCTTCCCCCTCTCTCCCTTCTCTCTTTCCTCTTTACCCAATCCATTCGAAAATTCTCAAAAAATATGAGATGATCATCTTCTCTCCTTCATCTTCCTCTTCCCTTCTTCATTCTCTGTACATGGAAAATTAATGTATGTGGACATAGACAACTCTTGTTTGTGCTCACAGCCAACTCTGTGCCAATTGTTTGTGAGCGACATTTTGTGTACAAATTGTGTACAACTTGTGTACCTCTATCATTTCTGAAAATATCGACCAAATGGTACATAGTTACATACCATCATACCACTTATGATAGAGCATTTTATCTTGTACAGAGTAAATTCTAACACAAACTATGCATCAACTATTCAAAAAACATTATAGAGTAAGATGAACTAATAAAATATCAGCAAATACGACAAATGTGTGCACACTGGGGAAGAAAATCGGGGGAAAGCAGAGGCAATGGTCTCCACTCTCCACTGGAATCTGGAAGCACCATGATTTGATTGATTTCTTTCTCCATTGTTCCAAACTAGATTCCCACCCGTGCGATGCACGGGACAAAAATAAAGTAAAAGATGTATATCCTTATTTGTCAGTAAAGATTAAACTATTAATTCACGTATAATAAAAGCATGAAAATAGTAAAGGCTTAATACATATAATAAATTTTTATTTAAGAAACGATATTTATGACTCATGCATTGGTAGTGAGTATGTTTTGGAATAAAAGAAATAAACAAATGTTACAATAAGATTCCTACATTCTACACAGTTCGAAACACTTCCTTGTAAACAACATTGGTAGTATGATAAGTGTGTTCTCCATCTTCACCGTAAATCAATATTTCAAACCCTTACGATTTGTTATTCTGGATACTGCAACATACAATTGACCATGAGTAAACACTAACTTTTATATTAAAGAAACCAAGGTATGGCAAAAATTGACCTTGATTCTTATTTATTTCATCGCATAAGAGGTCATGACTGATTTCAATAAATTAATTTAAATATCTAGTCTACCCTCATAATAAATATATTTAATTTTAAATTCTAGTAGTCATAAACTTAGACTTGTAAATTTAGCCAAATTCAAATACATTAATTTAATTTGAAAATCATTGTCCGAAACAACCTCTATGTATTTTCAAATTCTTATATACCACATAGTTGTAATCAACGTCAATAATTATAGAAATTAATAGCAATAATAACATTTCTAATTTATAAATTTGGATAGTTTATCATTATAATGCAATTATCATATAACATAATAAAGCAATATCCATCCATTTCATCCGATCATCCCATTATAGTATATATAGTATATATCTATCGAAATTATTTTTGAAAGTATGATCAAATAATCTAATTTAATTATTGTTTAAATAATCGTGATGTTTTATAATGAAAAACTTTAAGAAGGATGAAGGTAGCAATAATCTGATATTAATAATTACTCCGTGTTAATTAATTAATTACTTAATATAATTATATAATTATAATAACAAAATTAAACCTATTTTATATTTTTTTTTTTACAATTGCAGAAATTCATAATTTGAATGTATTAAAAAATAATACGGAGTATTATTAACTAAGTAAAATTATAACTCTTTAACAACCACCAATTTGTACAGGCCAATTCTAACCACTTTTACATGGCCCAATTAAACCCAACCCAACCCAACACCTTAAATTAAAACCTACGAAACAACCCAAACCTAACCCTTCCTATAAAAGTAACCTTTT